TATCAAGTATTTTTATATAGTCATTAGCTATTTGTTAATCACTAATTTTAACTAACGGACCTAAACTATCTATTGTAAAACACTCCAAACCATTATATCTCTTCTACCAGATTTAAAAGTAGGAACTATATAGTCAACATTATACTTTTCCTTAGGTTTTCTCCAAACATAATTACAACCATTATCCCTAAATACTTCAAATCGAGATTCATTGCTCCAAATAATAAATTCCCACTTTTATTTCTATCTCATTTGTTCTTGTGCCCATTCAAAACATATCTTGCTATTTCTTTCATTTACAAAAGATTTTCTCTTTTCAACTTGACCGTAAAATCCTTCAATATAAAGATAACATTGTATTGTACGTAAACTAACTTTTATTATTATGGATTTGGTGAATTTATTGATCAAAACATTTAAGATAGATTTTCTATCTTTTTTTACAAGATGGATAAGATGATAAACATTCTGTTTACTTAATTTAGATACTTGTTCAAAGTGAGGAGAAGGTTTGACTTTGCCAGTTTTTTTATAATGTGTAATAGTATCATAAATGGTAGTTCTGGGAAGTTTTAGAGTCTTTGTAATTACTGGAGCCTTATTTTTGCACCTCCAAGCACCAACAACTTGGTTGCATTCTTCTTCTTCAAGTTTTTTTCTTTTTTTGATTCATTTTGTATAAAAAATAAAACAAAAAAAAAATTATATGTACATTAATAAATAGCTAAAGTTTCGGCAAAGGTGCAAAAAAAAAATTAGAGTGGATTAACATGCATGTTTATGTTGATAACAAATCTAAAAAAAATTAATTGCCAGTGTTAATCATACCCAATTTTAAAAAATCAGGTGATTAATATCAGGAAGTATACATCCATATATATATATATATATTATATAATATATAAATCGTTAATATTTAATGAATTATGACTTGCTTGTTAATCTAGAATATACCAATATTCTTTGAAATAATTTATAATGAAATAATTCAAAATTAAAAAAAATATTAATTTTAATATTATATCTAATAAGTTTTATTTTATATTTTAATATTTGTTTTTTAAAATATTTTAAAATTTAATATTTGAATTTATTTTTTTAAATTTTTTTATAAACTATTTATTAAAAATATTATAATTAATTATATTTATTCAAGTGATTTGTTATTTTTGTAAGCTACCATATATTAATTTGAATTAAATAATTAATTGAAAATATAATAGCTTAAACCAATATATAAATATAAATTTAAAAAAATTAAACTAAACAATTTTTAATTACAATAATTGAAATTTAAATTTAAAATAATTTAATTTAATAAAAACTATATTTATATAAATCAGATTGGTTTCAAATTAGTTATAAAATTAAAACCAATAGTTTTTGAATCAAATCAATTTACAAAAAATTAAATTTGCAGTTTTTGGATTGAATCGGTTTAAAAAAAAAATTGGATTGGTTTTGGTTTTGGTTAAAACTAATTCAAATTGAATTGATGTGATCCCTAGTCATATATGCTAAAACCAGAAACTGATATTTATTTATTTTTTATCATTTTAATATATTTGTTTTTTCTGTTATATAAGATAAAAAAAAATACAATTCCATTTTGTTTTTTTTTTCAATATTTCTTTGTTTAAATATATAATTTGAAACTAATAGTATTGTTTGTTTCTTTTTTTTATATATTGTAATTTTCTTTGAATTTAATTTGTCATATTCTTTAAAAATTATAAAAAAACTAAAGATTTTGTATATTTAATATCTAATTCATAAATAATTAAAAAATTATACTTACTCTTCATAAATTTGATTAGTTATTTTTTTTACCTTAATTATTTATATCATAATATTTTATTTTAAATCTTGAATTCAGAATTACAATCATTAAATAAGTTATATTTGTTTTGTTATAATACTCTTTAAGTTTTGCTACATATTTTTTTAATGCTAATCATATTGTTATATTACAGTAAGTTCTTTATTGCTTGTATTATCTTTTATATAATTAAGCAGTAAATTATATAAATAAACTATTATAGTATAAGTAAAATATGTTTTTGCAAATATCATTATTATTACTTATTAAAAAGGTGCAACAAATTTTTTTATTTGCTGAAATATTTCCTAATTATATTTGTTAAATTGATATTTTTTTAATTTGGTATATATAAATATGATATATTCAATTACTTAAAATAGAAATATTTTAAATAATTTATATAAACTTTAAAAAATTAAACCAACTTATTTGTTTTAATTTAATAGCATATGTAATTATTTTATATATTAAATTTTATTGAGTTTTTATATTCAAAATAGGTTTTAAAATTTTTATTTTAAGTATTCTATAAGCATCTTTTAATTTTTTTTGATGTTGGAATAATGATCAAATTTTTATAATAAATTCATAAAGCTATATATTGTTACGGGAAAAAGTGATGGGTAAATTATAGGAAATTGTAAAGGTAAGTATAATAGTAAGTATATTAAATATAATATATATAATATATAAAATGTATATAAATAGAAAGAGGAAGATCAGATCTTGTAACAAGTTCTATGGACGTAATAAAGATTGTCTTTCTTGATAAAGTTTGGTTTGGTGAGAATATTCCCAATGTAGTGCAGTAAAAGGAACACTGCATGCGAAGTAACTTGATAGAACGCAGACCGACGAACTGATCTGCATTGGTGTTACCAGACTCTGGCCAAATTCACACGCCTCTTTTGAGAAGCAAGAACCTGCCCAAACGTAACACGACGTGAGTCAGACTGAAGCGACTGATTCGCCATATTTTTCCACAACAATATAAATAATTAAATAAAACAATTTTTAAATATTATAAATATATATTATAAATTATCTGTTTTAATTTATTATCGATTTCTTTTAAAGTCTTTTGTATACTTAAATTAATAACATATGCAAAACATTGAATATAATTTGTTTTATCTATAAATAAAATAGCCTGATTTTTATTTCATTCTTTTACTGCATTAGCAAATATTAAATTGCTATTGGTATTATTGATTATAACACCTATTATCTTATAAATTTAATAAATAAATAAATATAAAATCAAACTTGTCTTTGTTTAAATTATAGGTTTTTCAGATATGTTAAAAATGCTCTTTTTATATTTTAACCAGAATGTGCATTTCAAATTTATATAAAATCAATAGATTTTGCTTATATTTTTCTATTTTTATCAATAAAATGTATAGTTATAACAAAAAAAACTTTTATTAATACTAATGTCCAAATGTCAAGGGTAAATAAGATTCAATTTTCTGTTTTTTATAACAATTTTTATATTTTTTTTTAATTAATTAAATAAAATTTTATTATATTTGTTTTAATAATAATAGAAAAGGCAATTTTATATTTTTTGATAAAGTTTTTATAAATTTTTAAAAATTAGTTTTTATATGATTGTAAAAAAATACTGCTTAACAATAATCTATTGAATTAATTTTTTAAATTTTTTTAGAATCATATATTTACTAAATATTAAATAAATTTTATTATTTTTGTTTTATTAAAATAATTTTTGATACTAGGTTTATTGATATTCCAATCTAATTTTACTGTATGATATTTTTTAAGATGTTTATATATATTAGTAATACTGTTTTTACTACAAATATATGTAGCCTTGCAATAGTTACAAATAGCTTTTTTAATATTTTTAAAATCCAAATATTTTGTAAAATGGTTTTATACTTTGCTTTGGTTTTTATTGTAAAATATGATACTGTTTTTGACAAATTACTTATAATAATATTACTGATATTGCTGTTTTTATAACTAGTTAAACTGCTGGTTTTATTATTAATATATTGAAAATTTTAATTATTAAAAGAAATTTCATATTTCATTTTAAAAAAAATTAGTAAAAAAATTATCAAAGAAAAGGTAAACTAGAATAAAAAAAATATCAACATAAAGCAAGCTTGCTAAAATATAAAGGAAGCATAAAAACAGCAAAAATAAAATCATTAAAAAGTTTTTATTTATAATATTACATTATGAAAAAATAATAAAACAAAATCAAGTTATAAAAATTTTTGATTTTTTTACTTATTGTTTTATAAATTTCATTTTAATTTAATTTTTCTTTTTTTGTTTCCAGTTAAATATAAAATATAAAAATCTAAAATTGGTTTTAATTTGAATCAAAACTGAATTAATCTGATTTGATCGGATTAAAATTTTTAAAAATTAAATCAATTTGAACCAAAACCAATTCTTAAAACTTTGATTTCTACTAACTATCTATATAAGTTTATATTTTTTCGCTTATATAATTAATATAGCAGAGATAATCTTTCTTAATGGAAATGTACTTCCTAACTTCAATTTTGATTACTGGTTGGATACTATCAAATTTAAAGATTCTTATAATGCTCTGATTCACATTGCTAAGAGTGACATGAAGTAACTTACAGAGCAAAAAATTGATAATATGAGTTGGCTATCTAATTCTTCGGACCTTAATCCCATCGAAGATATCTGGGAGTTATTGAAAGATAATATCCAGAAACAAGAAAACTTTTCACAAAATATAAATGAACTTAAAATAGCTTTAAGGGAAGAGTAATCAAAATTCGATATAAAAATTTTGAGGGGATAATTGATTCGATGCCACGGAGAATTGAGGCATTTTTGGATGCGGAGGGAGGGCCCACTAAATATTAATAAATAGTATTAAAAAAAAACATATATATACTTTGAATAAAAAATCGGGCATTATTTTTGGTGTTGACTGTAATAAAAAATTTATCCACCTGATCTGCGTGAAAACTCGTGTAACTGTTATAGAAAAAACAGCATTACAAAATTAGTTTTATCGAGATTTTCCCAACGCCCTAGAAAAACTTATTTACATTTTGTTTTTTCTCACCATGTCTGTTGATCCTCAATTAGATTTATTAATCCAGTCGTATTTTGATAGTACTCCAGTATTAGAGTGGTCGTATATAGGTTTTTTGAGACAATGAAACCCCATCTTAGTTCAGCTAAAGGTTCGTTAGACAAGCGAAAATCCGTATGGCGGAAGCGGTTTCTGACCTTTCTGACTGATACTCTTGTCGATGAAGAAGAACAAAAGACATATGACGACAAAAGTAAAACGCGATTTGAAGTTGCAACTTTTCTGATTCAACAGGTTCGACAACATTTTATTTAAACCTTATTTTTCGTTCATAAAAAGAGAGATGTGCACGACCTCTGGGCGGTGTCGTCCTTCTAGGGGTATGGAGTGTCGTTCCCTAGTGCGACATTTCACGAGCTTCTCTGCTGTTGCACAGCTTAAGGCGGTGTCGTTTCTCCTGTGAGTAGGGGTGTCGTTCCCCAGTGTGACAGTTGTGGGGTGTCGTTCCCCTAGAAAGCTCGAGAGTTATGTATGGAATGTACTACCTTCTTGATTTACATTTACTAATAGTTTCAAGTTTCTTAGAAACACCCACCTGAAGCTACGAGCTTTTGGGAAAATTTCGAGTTAGAAAGACAGCTGACGATAAAGGAGGTGTGTATGGATTTGAATAGGCTCCTTAAAGTCTTAATGATATCGGCTGTGTTCTCACTTGCCAACCTTCTTTTTGGATATTTTCGACAAAAAATCGCAGATCGACGCATTAAATGTGCTTGATGCTTCTCGTAGTCAAAAAAGCAACGAATATATTGGTAAAGTTAATTCACGCGCAGAATCTGCAGATACATCATCTGGAAAAAAGCGTAAAAAAAAATCTATCCCTCTCGAAAAAGGTTAGTAAAGTTTTTTTTTCTAGTATAAAAATGTTGCCTTGAACTTTATATAAGCGTTTTTTAATTATTACTTCTTATATCTACAGAATAAACAATCGGTCGACTCGGCTGTTTTAAAAAAGGTAAAAAAATATAGTGAATTTCTTTAAAAACTTCTACTATTTGTTGCGTGAGCAGGCCAAAACCATCAGCGGGGATGTGGAGGATGATGAACCATTCATAAACAATAATAGAGCCGAAGGAACTATACATTCGAAAGCTACACCATCATCATTAGGTTCACAATCCTTGGAGATGTCAATTGGAGCTACGGAAATTACTAGTGGTACAAACGATGATAATAGTTTCGGGTGTGATATACCACGTACTTCGCCTCTTCAAATTCACTCTGCATCTGAAAATCAAGACTTAAACAATTAAGACAAGAAAAACAGCGAACGAAATCTATGTAGTAAGTAAAAATATGTCTATTAAAGCTAATTTATATTCCCATATTATATTATTAACTAACTATTTTCATCATTTTTTATTATAGTGAACCAATCTGCTCAAACATAATCGACACAACAAACAAGCCATTAATGGATAGATTGCAATTCAAACACGATTATACATGGGATCCCGTCACTAATGAGGCTACAAAATATATTGATGAATTAAGCTACTACTTTATAAATCTTAAGTGGTCAACATATTTGAGTCCACTTAATAATTTTTTCTCTTGTTCAAAGTTCTATATTGATGTTTATGATTTCTTTTGTTAACAATAGTTTTTTCTTCTTCCATTTCTCCATTATCTTGTAGATTGGCATTGGATTCTATTTTTTTTTTTTTTTTTTTTTGTACTGGTATGCATAATATATATAACTTGTCATATACAGTATGTTTATCCATATCTTGTTTTTTTTAAAAAAAAAAGCTAAGTGCACTATATATGTGATTTTTATAATTACAATTAATATATGAACAGTCAGTTAACTGGCACTATCTACCCTTCTACCTAATATACCAACTTACATCTTGTAAATAAACTTATATATTAGATTAACAATTCATTTTTTTAAACAGTTTTTTTTGTAGTAATTTGAGCGAGCTCTTTTGGTTTTATCTCTAGAGCTTAATATAAGCCATATCCTTAGGATTTTATCATAGATATTTACTTTCTAGTAAATTCTTTAAAAGTAGTTTTTATAGTTGGCTTAGGCTATCAAATTTAGAAATTTGTAATCAAGATATAACTTATAATTTTTTTAGTAGATACTCTACAGGCATTTAATTGATTTAAGCTGTCAATTCTAGAGACATTAATACTAAGCAAGACACAACTTATAAACAAAATTTATTAATATCATATTTCTTGTTAAAACAGTAGTTACAAAAACTGTAAGGTGTCAAAATTTTAATAAAAAAATTAAAAAATTTTTATTTAAAAAAAAAATCATTAAATATAATAATAAAAGTTTGTTCAAATTTAATAAAATTTTAATAATATATATAATTCATTATATGAAATATGTTTACTTAATACATAAAGTAATTTTTATTAATAAAATAAAAGATTTAATATATGACAACTATTTTTATTTAATTATAATAATTCTTAAGTAATCTTTTATTTATTGAAGAGACTGTATATAAATACATTATTAATTTATATTTGTAATAAATATAAATTAAAAATTAATCTGAGTTTATAGCACAATGGTTAGTGCTCACAGGTCAAATCACAAGATACCAGTTCAATTTCATATAAAAACAGTTAAATAGAACCAATATGGTATTGGTATCATAACTTGCTATATGTTGTTTTTTATGTAAAATCATTTTACATGTTGATTCAGCAAGTATTAAGATTGTGATTTTCAGTTAAGGTATTGTAATACATTAATTATCTGATTAATATTATGATAATTAATATTATGTTTGATACATTCTTCAATTCCGATATAGGTTATTTTTCTTTCTTATAATTCACAAGACTATAAAAGAAAACCTGCTAACCTGATTAGACAACTTTGAAAATAATTGCTGCTAGACATAATGGCATGGAGTATTACTCAGGTTATTTTACAGAAGTTGTATTCTGCTTGGTATTTGTATTCTTAGATTTGGTAGCCTAAGTCAACTAAGAACATATGAAGTGTCCACTGAAGAATTTAGGAATTATGTCTTACTAGACCTGATTATCTCTAGGTTTGATAATCTGTATCAACCATAGAAACAATTCTTGAAGCATTTACTAAAAAGTATAAAAAAGTAAGATATTAAATATCATAAGGTATGAGCCAGCTATGAGAATGTGATAAGAATTCTAATAACAGTTAAAGCTTCAAAAAATATCAAATTGGTATTGAAATAACACTGATCTATAGTAAATTTAATATATGGATTGTAATCTACTTATATGATTTTATAGTAAATTTAAGTATTGAAGTGGTATTTAAATAGTATTAAATTGATATAGAAATGATATAAAATGGTATTGTTAGGAGCTCTAGTAACATTTAACAGGTATAAGTTTTCTAAAAAGACTGTACCTAGTATACAAATCCATTTTCTTGATATAAGTTAGAACATTTAGATTAGAAAAAGACAATGCTAAGATTAGATAACTAGAACTAGTTAGTCAGATCTTTCATATAACAATTGTAACTTTAATAACAAAGTTAATAAAGAAATTGCATACAATATAGTTTGTCTTTAAAAATAAATAAATAAATAAATAGATTTAAAAATTATTTAAAACTTTTAAATTTATAAAAAAAACTTATTTATAATCAAAAAAACAATTAATAATATATAACATATGAATCTATAATACAGTAATTAATGCTTCATAGATTAGATTACAAAATATCAATTCAATTCCAGATAAAGATAGTGTCATATATTGTTTCTATTTCAGAAGAAATATAAAAACAAAGGACTATTAGCAGGGAGATACTTTAAATGGACAGGACCAATATGGTATGCTAAAGTTCCTAAAGGTATACAGATAAGTACAATTCTGAAATGTATGAGGTCAGGTGAAAGAAGCAATAGTGATTTGTTTTGTAAAGGTCAAGATATTTATTCAATAAAATATATATTCAAGTCTGTCAATTTCTAAATAAAATTGAAGCCTTTATATATATGTTTGAATTATATTATTTTCATACATAATAATTATGAGTTATAGGAAATAATAAAGATATAAAAGAAGTGTTATATTTGTCAGAATAATTATTTGTATGTGTTAGAATAGAAATCAATACTCTGTGAAGATACAAGAATAAAAATAAATAAGTAAAATAAGAAATATTCTAGAGCAACAATAGTACAAAAAGCATAGTGCTAAACAATAACAATAATAATAATACAAGAATTATTCTAGAATGAACAATATTTCAAGAGTAAATGCTAGTAAAGATTAGACAAGAGGTAGTGATAATTTTGGACAAAAATCAAGTATAACAATAGTTGAATAATGTTAATATGATATCTGGTACTATAACCTGTTAAATATTGTTTTTTATAAAAAACCAGTTTATATGTTGATTTAATAGGTATTGAGATTATAATTTGCAAAAAAATAAAAAAATATAATAATTATTTGATAGATAATATGATAATTATTAAAAGTAGTTCATAGTGATTAAATAAAATAATAAAAAATATCTGTTTAACTTTTTTAATCAAGCTATTTCTTGTATTTCTTTTAATAATAGTTGAAGCTTCAGCCTGGATTATTTCAATCTATTATAAAGCTTTAGTGATTTATTAATTGCAAGTAATAAAAAGTATTATAGTTTATACAAAAGTATAGATGAAAATATGAGACTTAAGTTATTAGGATATTTGAACTAACTTTCTAATCAAGACTTTTTTTTTAAATCAGATTGTAAACAGGTTTTAATAATCTAAATTGATAACAGGATATTTATTTCTTATTGATCTGCTCCTGGATATCACAAAAATGACATGTCATATATTGAATCCTAAATCTTAGAAGAGATATACAGTATGTATGAATAATCTGTATAGAGTAGTATATAGTTATTGACTTGTATAAGTTCTTAGAAGATCTTTTGATAATGTTATTATCTTAGAAGAGCAAAATGAAAATTATATCAATTTAGGTTTTCTGTGAACAAAATATTTCTATAAAATAAAAAAAATAAAAACAGAATAAAAAAAAATAAATAAACACATACAATCTCAATTCTAATCCTCTCTCTCTGTTCTGGTCAATTCTTGTCTCACTTTGCTCAACTGCTCCCCAGCTATCTACAATTATGTGCTTCTTCATATACAAACTTAGCACAGAGTTACCTGAATACACCAACCGCCAGGTAAAATATCTTCACAGCAATCTTATTCAAACTATTAACATACAGCTCAAAAGCAAACAGATCACTTTAACTTGGATTCTCGACAAAAAAGAACTCCCCTCAACGACTCCTCAAGGCATACTGACACCTATTCCTCTTGTGCTTCCAACTGTCCATAGCACATCCCCACTAATCAATACCAACCTTGCAACCAGTATCACACAATGGATTAAATTCATAAACTACTATACCAATCTCTTTAATATCCTTCTAAGTGATTCTGACATAAACAAACCGAGAAGCTTTTCCGAAATGGACATTATTATTAAATTCAACAAAAAACTATCAAAAACAGACAGACTAAAATTTCGATCACTAGCAACTTTCAGAACCAAAATTGTAGCAAACCAATTCCCTACTCGAGACAAACTTCACAAAAGATACTCTCTTTTCTACAAAGATAACCTGTGTCCCCGATGCTAGGCATATCCAGAAACCTTAAATCATATATTTTTATGTCACCACAGTCTTCCCACATTAAGGAAAAAAAAAGACAAACTTGAGGCCCTTATTGTTCTCAACATCCCCAAAGAGAAACTTAATTCAAGGGAGGCATACCTCCTTCAAACAACCAATATAACAGGCAAAATTTTACTCAATCTAGCTCTTGACAAGTTTAACAACTCCTTTAATATCATTCAGAAAAAAGAAGACATCTTAAATCACTCTCTCAAAATTTTGAATAAAATCTGAAAACAGTGCTCAGCAATTGCCACCACTTCAACAACTTTAGAAATCAAGTGGAAAAAAACTATTACCTTGGCTACAATTTCTAATACTAACTTCTTAAACAAAAGTACTTTCCAGAAAGTACTCAACACTTTAAAAAACTCAATCAACCTCACTGACAAAAAAATTTTTATACCAGCCATAGTATCATAGTTTTGAATAGGCATTAGCCATTCAATACCTTTAGTATACAAACACCTACTTGGTACCATTACGTACTAATTGAAAAGTTTCAATAGGCTACAATTAACTTAATTTCTATATATCTTAAAGATTGTTAATATAATGACAATAAACTTTTGTTTAATAAATATTTCGCAT